CCGGGCCAGCGCCCCTCGGCCGGTTTCGTTTCCCCCGCCGGGCGGCGCACATGGCGGGGCTGCCGCGGGCGCCGGAGAAGGTGGCGACGTTGCGCCTCCGCCGCTCCCGGCGGGGCCGCCGGCTCAGACCTGACAGCCCCGGAGGGAACGACGGGCGCGGGGACGGGAGCGAAGGTTGCGGGTGCGTGTGCGTAGAGAAGAGGAAGGGCGAGGAGGTCGCAGTCGGGCCGGGCGTCCGCGCACGCTCCGCTGCGTCCCGCGAGGCCGTGTTCCGTGGGTGTAGTTGGGGACGGGTGGCTCTGGAGTAAGCCCTGGCTGCCGAAGGCGCAGCTATGACCGTGGAGAACAGTTGTACAGACTTTCGTCGTCGAGGGATGTATCACAAGTTTGTTGACAACACGGGCTGGGTTGGGGAGAGGAGAGGCCTGTGTTCGTTCCTTGGCGGTCGTTAAAACATGGCTTCTCGGCCGAAGCCGACCGTTGACGTGGTGACTGGTCGGATAAAAACCCAGAGCAGCTGAAGCGCCGTAGTTGGTTGTCGTTTTAGTCTGGTGTCTCCTAGAATCACACCTTTGTCCAAATGGAGGCCTTTTATGTTGCTGCAGGTGTCCCGTGTTAACGTGAGTCTGAGAACTGGTTTTTGCGTAACACAGATGCTTTTAACGTTGGAGCCTTAGGCGTGATTAAACGGAACGGACAGGGAGGTGTCTTAATGCAGGAATCGCGTTAAACGTGGGGGATTTGTTTGTTCTCTCTCCTCTCTTTCAGAGCTGTTGCGCAGCCATTGGTACCTGTATTGGGGAAACATAGCATACAAGCAAGAAGCTTACAGCCTCAGTGGCGAAAATTTTTTCATGTCAGAGACCGAGAACTCTTGCAGTCGTTTATGTCATCCCTTCTTCTCCAGACAGAGGATACCAAAAAGTTGCAATCAAAGATCTCTTCATCTTATTGATAAAGCCACTAATAAGCCAAAATGTCTGTCAACGTCAACCGCAGCGTGTCAGACCAGTTCTATCGCTACAAGATGCCCCGTCTGATTGCCAAGGTAATGTTCGTCTTCATTTTAGTAGCAAGTCCTAAGCTTTTTTTCATAGATTATTGAAGATTGCTTCTCCCGGGGTAGACGCGCAAAATTAAACTTCTTACTTCCTTTAGGTTGAGGGCAAAGGAAATGGAATCAAGACAGTTATAGTCAACATGGTTGACGTAGCCAAAGCGCTTAATCGGCCTCCAACGTGTAAGTAATGCCTCTTGAAAGAAGTCTAAAGAGGCATTTTATTGACACAAACATGATAATTTTTGGTCTGCAAAATCTTGCCTGAATTGTATGTTGGTTAACTCCTGGGTCGAGTGGAAATTTGGGCTTAAAACTCATTGATGTGTTAGTTGTTTCTAGTATAAAAAACTATCTGGGCAACACATTTTTTGAACCTAGCAACTTAAAAATATAGAGTGATATTTGTATAAATGAGGATGAGCAGCCAAAGATTAATTTAGTTAACTCTAATGAACAGACTTTCTTCCCCCAAATAGATCCCACCAAATATTTTGGTTGTGAACTGGGAGCACAGACCCAGTTTGATGTTAAGAATGACCGTTACATTGTCAATGGATCTCATGAGGCGAATAAGCTGCAAGACATGTTGGATGGATTCATTAAAAAATTTGTTCTCTGTCCTGAGTGTGAGAATCCTGAAACGGATCTGGTGAGTGCCTTTGAGGTTTTTGTCAGTAAAAGAAAAAACTGTATCTGTTTCTGTGATGTCAGCAAATTATGTTCCCGAGAAGGCAGAGCGAACATTAAATTTTGCAGGTATTTCCATACTGATTTCATGTTTAAAAAAAAATTATTTTGATATTAGACTTGTGTTATAGATGCCTCTTGATGGTTAGATCCTTTCATATTTTGTTCCTGACAGAATTTTCATCATATATTATGTTTGACATACTTATTTTTGCTTTTTTGGCAGCATGTCAATCCAAAGAAACAAACAATAGGTAATTCTTGTAAAGCCTGTGGCTATCGAGGCATGCTTGACACACATCATAAACTCTGCACATTCATTCTCAAAAACCCACCTGGTAAGTGCTTATGATAACTTCTAAAATCTTGGCATAAAGCACCTGATTGTTGGAAACAATGGAAGTTTCTTTGCTGCTGTAAAACTGGAGTGAGGTTGACCTTTGAATACCTGCACAAGTGAAAATTTGCCTATAACAATAGGGTCAGCCTTCTACATCCAAGGTTCAACCAACCATGGATGGTGTGATACTGTAGTGTGTATTTATTGAGGAAAAAAATCTCCATGTAAATGGACCTGTGCGGTTTAAACCTGTGTTGTCCAAAGGTCAACTGTTTAAGAAATTTTTAGTCACTATGCCATATTGTACTGAATTTTTTTTTTTTTTTTTTTTTTGCGTTATGCGGGCCTCTCACTGTTGTGGCCTCTCCCATTTGCGGAGCACAGGCTCCGGACGCGCAGGCTCAGCGGCCATGGCTCACGGGCCCAGCCGCTCCGCGGCATGTGGGATCTTCCCGAAACGGGGCACGAACCCGCGTCTCCTGCATCGGCAGGCGGACTCTCAAGCACTGCGCCACCAGGGAAGCCCTATTGTACTGAATTTTGAACTTTTTTGTTAAATGTACTGTTTTATGTGTTGTTAAAGGTGAAGTACAGGCTGCCAATTAAACTCTACCACATTCTCGATTTTCAAGACTTGTCTTAGGATGTATGAAATACTGTAAAACAAATTGTAATGGGATCCTAGTAAAGGATCGGTTTCTGGAAAACTTTTGTAAATGTGGGTCTTTGCTCATTAAGCTAAAGTGGTTTTAGAGCATGCAAGCAACACTCTGTGGCAGATGATCAAAACTCTGACACAATTTGAGCTTGCTATAGCAAGAAAGTCTAACCTATTCCGGTGTTCTCTTCTCCGTGAGACAAGCCGTTATATAGGCTTAAACAGTGTTCCAGCTGTTGGCTAAAGTGCAGTTAAGAAATACCCTTATTTAAGTTCATGAGGGATGGAAGGAGAGGGTCGTGAGTGCCACTTTAACTACCTGGTCTTCTGAGGTATTACCACTCAGTCTTAATTTTACCCAATAGTTAATACCACTGATAGGTAGGGACATTCCATTCTCAGCTTGAGTTGCTTATCTACGAAATACAGTGGATGAATTTGACTTGTGAATTCATTTAGAATTATAGGTAGCATTCTGTGTGTGGTTTTCTGAGGGGAGGGTTTCAAAGCAAAAGGGCAAGATTTTAAATGTTCACAGTGGGCGATAAGGTGTAATATAAGTTACGGTACTAAACTTTATTTCCTTTTTGTCCCTGTAGAGAATAGTGACAGTGGTACAGGAAAGAAAGAGAAGGAAAAGAAAAATAGAAAGGGCAAAGACAAGGAAAATGGTTCCATGTCCAGCAGTGAGACACCACCACCACCACCACCACCCAGTGAAATCAGTCCTCCGCATGCTGTGGTCAGTGCAAGGTTGATGGGTGTGGTGGGCACTAAAATTGTGTACAGTGTGACCTTTGGTTGAGGTGAGCAGAAATAAACTGCTCTTCAGTGAACAATACATCAGTATATTGGGTTCCAGGTGCTATTTGTTGACTAAACTAATGTGAACACAAGTTTAGTGGGAAGTTGTTGTTGACTAGAAATCTGGGATTTCTTTTTATTATCTATAAGGTCGTTTTTTTGGCTAAGCAGTTTTGTTTTTAAAAACAGGAAGAAGAGGAAGATGATGATTGGGGGGAGGATACAACAGAGGAAGCTCAAAGGCGAAGAATGGACGAAATCAGTGACCACGCGAAAGTTTTAACTCTCAGTGATGATTTGGAAAGGACTGTTGAAGAGCGTGTCAATATCCTGTTTGATTTTGTTAAGGTAAAATGCTTGCTTCAAGAACAGTTAAACATTTCGTGATCATACTAAATCAGCTTCTACCCATCCCTGAGCTTTGTTAGATATTACTTTAAGCTGGGTACTTGGCAGGTAGTTTGTTGGGTTTTTTCCATGCTTCCTTTTGAAATACTCAAATACAAGTTTCACCTTCTTCTGTTTGTTCAGAAATTTTTTTGAGGGTGGTTCCAGGCATTGTTTTCGGCAGGTGTGTATTATTTAGAAGTCGTAGAACCTTCTTGAATTAGGTAGTGGAAGAGTTCATAAGAGCAGGGACTGTGGTATCTCTAGAGCAAAATGTGCCTCCATCTCACTGAATTGCTTCTTTTTATTTGCAGAAAAAGAAAGAAGAGGGTGTTATTGACTCATCTGACAAAGAAATTGTAGCTGAAGCAGAAAGACTGGATGTAAAAGCCATGGGCCCTCTTGTTTTGACTGAAGTTCTTTTTAATGAGAAAATTAGAGAGCAAATTAAGAAATACAGGCGCCATTTCTTACGAGTAAGCGAATCATTCTAGATTCATAAGATTTTAAGCTGTGTGACCTTGGAAATACTGATTTAACTTTATTCTGTCATCCTGAAAATGGAGATAATTGACCTACCTTAACAGGAATGGGAGTACCTGGAAATTGGTGCATGTAGTCCCTTATACGTGAAGTAAATCAGAGATCTGTTAAGCATTGACCTCTTTGAACGACTGCTATAGGGCCATGGCTTCAAAGAACAATTTCTAAGGCAATAAGTTTATTTAGAACATATATTAGGATTGTCAACTTAGAACTTCTAAGAAAGCTTGTTAATGCTGAGATATTTATTTGCAGTTTTGTCACAACAACAAAAAAGCTCAGCGGTACCTTCTTCATGGCTTGGAGTGTGTGGTAGCAATGCATCAAGCTCAGCTCATCTCCAAGATTCCACATATCTTGAAGGAGATGTATGATGCAGACCTTTTGGAGGAAGAAGTCATCATTAGCTGGTCAGAAAAGGTGGGGAATATTTAAATGACTCTTAAGATTAGAAGCATAGGGGCTTTTTTGGAAAGTAGTTAACTACTAATACCTAGTCTGTACATGCTTGACTGGTATAACCTGTAGGGTGATTCTCATCATGGTAGCTTTCTAGTAAGGTTTCTAGAAAACCTTGTGCTGAATACATTTATTCTGCTGAGGGGTCAAGATTAGGATGTGGCCCAGTCCCCTCAAAGAGATGAGTTTGGGCAGTTATATAAATGACTTGCATTACTTTAATTTCCTTGAACTAAGAAAATTATACTGAACACTTTTTAGGCCTCTAAGAAATATGTCTCAAAAGAACTTGCCAAAGAGATTCGTGTCAAAGCAGAACCTTTTATAAAATGGTTGAAGGAAGCAGAGGAAGAATCTTCCGGTGGTGAAGATGATGATGAAGATGAGAACATTGAGGTAAACGCTGGGGAATCGTTAAATACGGTGTTAGTGGTGGGTGTTTGAGAATTATAAAATGCCAGTATTGGGTAATACAGCCTCTTAATTTGGAAGGTAATCACATTAATAGAAAAGGTGCTGGAAATCTCTCCTACCCCCCGACATTGATTCCAAATGAACATTGTCTGAATTTCCAAAGGGAGAGTTTAACGTTAAGTATAGGGTTGATCGTCCATAAAAATAAGGTACTGTTAGGCTGCAGAGGGTTAACTTAGTTTTTACATAGACACGAATTTTCATGAAGAATAATGGCTTTCTCTAGGTAGTTTTTGTCCTTTGTTGACCATTGACTTCTTACTGGTTTTATTTTACAAGGGTTTACTGGGATAAAGGTTTACAATCAAAAATCTTCGTTTTATCAGGTGGTGTATTCAAAGACTGCCAGTGTACCGAAAGTTGAAGCTGTAAAGTCTGACAACAAGGACGATGACATTGATATTGATGCCATTTAAAGGGGTGGGTGCAGCCCAGCTTAACAGTGTAATGCTGAGAATCTTTCTGCATCATCAGCCAGAAGTGCAACATGTATGTGCAAAAGCTAAACTGGCTTAACGTCATGCTACACTTTCTACTAAAAATGTATTGCTGTGAGTGGTCTGTATTTAAACCCAACAAGACATCTAGGGAGTCCATACACATATCAGTGAGCAGATGTAGTTTGCTTATTTACAGCATGTTTCTTTTTGAAAATTTAGTGGTGGACACGTTTGGGTCACGTTTATACAGTTATAAAAATAAAGATTTGATTTTGGTCGTTCTTCAGATTTTTGGCTCTGAATGACTTAAGAAAGATGAAATAATTGGCTCCTTTAAAAAATGTTGCACCATCATTTAATCTGATAGGATTACTGGAGCCTGTTAGTACTTTTAAGTCTTATTTCTAGTCCCTCAGATTGGCATCTGGTAATGTACATTCTTCCCATGCCAAGGTGGACTGATAATCAAATGACAGTGCAACACCTCTAACTTACTGAGATGTTAAAATGACCTGGGTGACCTATAAATAATTTTAAGAACAGGTTTTGAAACTTGAATAGTGTTAGTGTTTTTGTTTTTGTTTTTTTTCATTTTTTCTATACTTGCCCCAAATTGTAGTCTTTGAAGTCATGTGCATTGCACTTTGGATGAGCCAGGGGAATTACTACATTAACATAAACATTTTATTATGTGTATGTAGCTCTTTATACTGAGAGAAAACTGAAACTTTGGGGAGTGATAAGCTCTACGATTTTATTTGGGGGAAGCAGGAAAAGGTACACTTAATCTTTAGCAAAAATTGAGCAAAATTTTTCAATCAATTTTACTCTTGATTCAAATTACAATTTCAAAATATTTAGACATACTGTATCTTTTGTTCAGTGTGGATTTTTCCCCTGATAAACTGGTTCTTTGATGACTTCTGCATTTGGATACATAGCTTATACTTTTTTGGGTTGCTATCTTGCCAAAATAAGTGTTAACTATATCTCAGATTCCCCCCCACCCCCCAAAATGTCTTATTTTTTAAAAAAGCTAAAAGCATACTTCTAAGAGCCTATATTTTGGTGTAAGACTTGGGGTGTTTTTTATTTTCACAATAGTGTGAGATACCCAGGAAGTCTGTGATGATGGCAACTGAAAGCAGGTGACTAGGGCCTGACCCAGCCCATCCTGGGCTTTAGGTTTGGAAATAACTTCTTGTGATTTGCTTGCCCAGTTTGCTGATGTAAACTCACTTGATAGAAGGGCTTATGACTACATCTGAGAAATCATCTTGAGGATGCAAATTTACACAAAAAGTACACTGGGAATCAAAATGCCTGGAGAGCACTGGCTTACATCATTCACCTCTTTGTTTGTGATCCATCTGACAGGTTACAATGAGACCTTAACAAATGTATGTAAGGTTTTTTCACATTGAAATTGTATGAACATTTGGTATAATAAAACCTTGTTAGCTTGGTATTTTAAGAAATTAAACCCTGGCAGTCTTACTGGAGAGGTACAAATTGGTCTCCAGCTGCCTTTCTTGATAGATTTTGATGAGATTGAAGGAGAGCCATAATACCTACCTGGAGGGGAATGTGCTTTGTTGCACCAAAGAGAAGAGGTTTTTGCAAATTCATGTCTCACCTAGGTTTTAAATTTTTGCCATTATCTTGAATTGTTCTGGGGGGATCAAGTTGCATTCCGCATACCCATTATCAAGCTGATGAGGTTCTGTTATAGAGGGTTTTTTTCCCCTTTTTCTTCCTCCCCCGCCCCCCCTTAAAGCTGAAGGAAAACTTACAAGGCTTCTAAACACTAAAGAGAAAATTTTGGCTTAGACCACACTTCAGTCTAGTGCCAAACTTTCAGTGGAATTCAAATCCACATAGTAAGGAGTTTATTCATAGCAGCTATCCTAATAGAGTGATCTTTCACTTTGCTGTATTCAACTGTCTTAAAACTTCCTGTTTGAAACAGCTATGTTATGTGATTAAAACAATGTTAAAATTATTTTTTGTCTCTGCTTTAATATTAACCTAAATTTTTGTTTTTAAAATTGAAGCATTGAAATCTCCCCTTTTTTGTAGCTGTTGCTTCAGATTTGTGTTGGATGTTTCCTTCTGCAGTTGCCCCCTACTCACAAAACAGATGTTGCCCATGACAGTGGCTTTCCTTAGATCGCGTGCTCTTATTCTGTAACTCAAAGTTGATTACAAACCAGAAAGGTCTGCTTTCATCCGGTTTCTTTTTTTTTTAGATTTAGATGTGTTATTTATTTATTTTATTATTATTAATTATTAATTATATTGGGCTGTGTCGGGTCTTAGTTGAGGCACGCAGGCTCTTCGTTGTGGCACGTGGGCTTCTCTCTAGTTGTAGTGTGTGGGTTCCAGAGCGCGTAGGCTCTGTAGTTTGCGGCACACAGGCTCTAGTTGAGGCGTGCAAGCTCAGTAGTTGTGGCACACGGGCTTAGTTGCCCCGCGGCATGTGGGATCTTAGTTCCCTGACCAGGGGTCGAACCTGTGTCCCCTGTATTGCAAGGCAGATTCCTTACCGCTGTACCCCTAGGGAAGTCCCCATCCGGTTTCTTAAAATCTTGCTTGGGTGTTGATGAGGGACTTGAGGTGTATCAGGTATATAGTTAAATAACTGGCTATAGTATTCAGCCTTAGTTAAGAAAGGAATGTTTCTAAAGTTAGGAGGTTAACGAACTTGGAAGGTACTATTTGGGCTCCTAAAGGTTTGAGAGAGAATGGGTGTTCATCTAATGAATTGCTACAGCTTCACCTGCCAGTATTAAGAGTAACCCTAAAATGCAAAAATTTTGCCCAACCTCTGCATTGTCAGTTTTGATGGTTTTTCAGAATACAGCCTATCTGACCACTCTAAAGCTTCAAAGCGCTCTTGGTACCAGGAACAGTATTACACTTGAATCTCTGCCCTCTCCAACTATCATGTGGTTTGTGTCCCGTCTTTGCTGAATGGATAGAGTCATGTTTACATTTTCTCTGTCCCCAGTACTCTGTATAGACCTTTACTCCTCCAAGAATGACACTCCATAAGACTTGCCAAAGTTGTTGTGTCTGACCTGTGCACAGTCTCCAGAATTTGTCCCTTTGAGCCTTTGTTGGAGGTTGGGAGGTCAGGCATTGTGGCCACCTGCCTCAGGGTTCTATATTCCAGCCCTAGCCCAACAAAGGTCTTCAGAAAGATTGCTAGTTCTTCACAGCCGGAAAATTGAACCGATCCTATGTACTAGCATATGGAAATAACACGGAGAGGTTCTTTCCTCAGAACCCAAACCAGGACTTGTACATTGTTCTTAATGACTGGCATTCGGTTATGCGTTCTGTGAGTTTAAGGGGCATATTCACCTGGGCTCTGGAGTCATCTAGGTTTTGGCAGGCCCCCTGTAAAACTGGAAGCCCATCTTTCTGTGTCTAATGGGGATGGTAATGCCTGTGTACAGCAATTAGAATACTGCAAGCAGGAGAGGTAATGCCTGACTGGGGCAGCTAGGGAAAACTGCCCTGTGTGGAAGAGAGACAAAAGGGAAGAAGAGCTCATGCTGGTACCTGCAGACATTCAGAACAGGGGTTACAGCGGATTGAGAGCAGTGGGTAGTTGAAAGGGCTGTTAATTTTGGCTGGAGCAGTTCTAGGGTGGTACAGTTTTTGCCTCAAGCAGCCCTTAATGTGCGGTGATGTTCAGACCAGTCTAGAGCAGAGGCTGAGGGGGCAGGCCATGGCCCCACCTGGGGCTCATAACATAATGTAAATAGCAGCATGAAACAGAAGCCAGCCCAGCCTGAGATAAGGATTGACAGGTGCAGGGCCAGTGTATGAGGCTGGTCCCAGTGGTCCTCTAACATCCAGGCAAGGAATCCTTCCAAAGTCCCCAGTGAGGTCAGTGGCATAAACATCAGGTAACATGTACTTCACAAGGAAGGAACAAGTCCTGAGGAGGAGACTGGCTGAAGGTTCCACAGCACACCCACACACAGCCCAGACCCCATGGCTTTTGCTGTGTAAGCTTCCACCTTGTCCCACCCTGCAGTTCTCAGGTCCTGTAAACTGGGAAGCACCTAGGGCAAGGATAAGGAGTAACTTTTTGGTCCTTAGGGTGGTTGTTGGAGGGAGGGCCAGGTAGCAGCTTTCAGGGTCCAGGCTTGACTTGGGTGAAGCTCCAGACAGAATCTGAGGCAGGGTGCCAACCTCATGCACCCCATCTGTACCCCTGGCCCCCATCTCACACTTGCTTCAGCCTTGCCCCACCTTAAGGGAGCTCGCAGACCAAAGCAGACACAGGGCAGAGGGGTGGAACTTCGGAGGAGAGAGGAAATGATTGGGGACCTCGAGGAATGTCTTAGAGAAGAGAAGAGGTAGCATTTCAAAGGAGAAGCAGGAATTTACCCCAGAGGAAGAAATAGGGCAGCACATCTGGAAAGTAGAAGCTGCTCCCTTTAGTTGAGTGCAGTGTGTGGGATGAGGCTGGAGGAGGTGGCAGTACTTATTTACAAACTGAACCCTGGAGAACTGAATCTTCACAAGCTGCAGGAATGGAATTACATTTGTATCCTGCTGCCAGGAATGCTGAGCCACTGTGGGAATCGAGGAGGGCTATTAATCCCATGGCTGACAAAGCCAGCAGCTGCCATGAGGGTGGACTGGTCAGACAAGGATGCACTTTGGCCTGGGAATGTCATGGTCCCCTGCTGTCCTGAGGGCACAATGTCAGATTGGAAGGATTAACAAGCCCAAACCCCTATCCCACAGGCAGCAGAATCTGAGCACCCAGGAGTGTTGGAACCTTCCCTGCAGACCAAGATCTCCCGTCTGGGGTTAGGACAGCACCCTGTAGGGGATTCCAGGAGGTTCAGGGCCTGAGTGAACTCACAGGGTATTTCTGTTATGACTTCCAAGCTAGGAACAGTCCTCTGTAGTTGTAGGGTTGGATTCCTCAAAGAACAAAGAAAAGCATTCTCAAATGTGGTCACAGGTCTTATGTGTTAAAGTTCTTTTGGTGACAAATAACTCATGGAGTCAGTTGGGAAGGGTTTCCCAAGGATTCACATTATGATGGAATCATGGGGAGCCCCAGTGCACAAACCTGGCCTTGCAAGGACCCAAGAGACACCAGCAGGTCCAGCCTTGTGGACACAGATTGTACCAACTAGGACTCCAGGCCCCTGGGCAAGAAAGAACATTCCTCCAGGGCGCTTGCCCACATGTCTACTTCTCTAGGTTTCTCTAGTTCTCTGTCCCCTACTCGTGAACTTTCTGGCCCTGTAAAGC